ATATCTCAAAATTAAGTTGGTAAATGTCATTGCAGCTGCTTCTGAAATTCCAGCAGTGAACCCTCTTGCCACAGAATTGCAAGGCCATATATCAGTGCTTCCATGCCAGTTTTTATGTAAAGAAAAGGTTGTCTGTGTGCTGTGATACTGCATCACACATGGTGCCTGTGGGGGTACCTTACTGTAACGGGGCATGGCTTCATACTTCAGGAGACCTATCCATGCATCTCCTAAACTGTGTCCTAGACCCGCTGGGAGAAGCAGATGGTGGGGTTTGAAGGGCTCGATCTAGGTTGCTTTTGTTGGTTTTTTGGGTTTTTTTTAGCCAGGTGCTCTCCTGGGAACCCGCTGCAGGGATCTGCTTGCAGATTTAGTCTCATGTGAGAGTGGTGGTTCCCCAGTCTTTGCACTTCTATGGTTAAACACTCGACCCAGCTCAACCACATGTAAATTTAGTTTTAATCCTTCTTGTAGGGTTTGCATCCTTGTAGTAATACGCTTTTTGGGGGAAACATTTTTAAAGTAGTTTGTTTGAATAAAAATCTCGGACTAGCAAACTAGAAGGCCACTAGGTTTGAATGGAGGTTTTCTTAACGTGTTTCCCTGAAGAGGAGCCTGATTCTTGGCACTCTTTCCCATCTTCTGAGGAACAAAAAGGGAGAGAGTGTGCATGTGTAAGACAACTGACTGCTGCTGTCAGAATGCACGTGTCATTGGGAATATGAAATCCAGACTTCAGAGCTGCTGCAGTCCCACCCCCTGTCTCGCCCTGCCAGAGCACACGTTCAGCTACCACCTGGGTTTGTTTGTGGCCGGCCCCCCGAATTTATCTTCCTCATATGGCCAAGTATCTTCATCCCCGTGGCAATGTGCTTGAGTGGAGAGCCTGGTGAGTGCAGTAGGGCCTGGGGATACAGGATGAAAATCCTCAGTGGACCAGCTCCCAACCAGGCTGTCAGAGCTGGATTAAAGCCTTCAGCCCTGGAATTCCCCATGTAACAGCCAGCTTTTGTAATATACAGCACCTTTGATTACAAATGTATGCTGTGTTTACAGTTAATATCAATTCTTCCTGGATAATTTTTGCCCTAGTGCTGGTTCTGAGCACTAACCTAGAGAGCGTTGTGCATGAAAATGAGATTAGGAGGCTTTTGTTGATCCCCCCCAGCCCCGTGCTCTGATTTGTGCTGGGGCTTCAGGCTAGGCTGTAAATTGCTGATGCACAGAATTTATTCAGCTTTGTATTGATCAAAGCTGTATATTTGTGTGGGTTGTTTTATAGCAGGAATCTGAGCAGATGCACCTGGGAGAGCGGGTGGTTGATGGTGTTCTCAGATGTCCCACTCCCTGTGCTGGTGGCTTTGGGCACAGCAGTGATGTTTGCCACCTGCTGCAAGATTCAGTACACGTTTGTGTGAACAGATGATGTTCTAGCCCTGGAAAATTGGGAATAATGTGCTTTCCTGTGCCTGTGGTGCCCTGGCAGGAGCGGTGCAGGTCCCTGGAGCCGTGCTGCAGGCTGCCTGTGTCCCTGTGACCTCCCAGGTACATCTGCGAGCTGGGAAATCCCCTCATTAAAGAGCTGCTGTGTAACAACACTGATGGGACTAGAGCAGAGCGAGTGCCTCCTGTGGGAATAGTGCTGTGGGTTTGGAGCTCCTCCTTTAAACTGAGAAGGTCATTTCTTTGTTCTGGGTATTGCTGGTTCAGGCAGTAATTCGTGGCTCCATCACGCACAGGGATGTTCAGGAGAGCACAGGCCTGTCTTGTAGCCGTGGGAGACGTCCTGACGTATTTACAGGCTGCTGTAATTCAATATTTGAACTGGCTGATCTCTCTGATTCCTCTTTCCCTCTGGTGCTTTACAAACTCCAGAAACGTAAGTTTTTAAAAACAATGACCGTGGTGCTGTCCAAACTGAACCATCCCAGAATCACTGCCCTGGCCCTGCTTTGGTTTCCCCAAACCAGTGATGGGTCTCATCAGGGCTCGAGTCAAAGGCAGAGTCAGTTTATTGTTTGCCTTAATCCTGCAGTCACAGATATCTGCAGGGTACACAGCCTTGCTCTGTGTATTCTTCACTGTTTATGCCTTTGTTTGTGTAAAGTCTTGATATTGAGAGAGGCACTCTCAGTCTCTGTCCTGTGCAGTTCCTAATTTTGTGGTGTGCTCATGAAAAGGGCTCCATAATGCTGTAGACACAGAAGTTGTTAGGGATGCATCCTGCTGTGAGCTGAGATTTGCATAAAATGATTCTTACTTGAGGGATGAGCGTGAGTTTGCTGTTACATTTCTGGATCTTCAGATTTGATTTGAAATATTTAGTACAGAATGGAAATGCAGATCATTCTTTAAAGAGTTTGGTTGGGGGGTATTAAATTTAAACTATTTATCATGAAATACCTAAACCCAAACAGAAATGGAGGATGTGTGAGGATGTGACTGTTCCAGCTAATGAGCATATCCAGCTTTTAAGGATGAAGGAGCCACTTGAGTAGATTTGAACTGACTGTGTGACAGTCCTGGTGAAGTGGGACAGCATGTCAAGATCTGAATTTAATACTGGAAATAACAATATGTTGGGGTTGTGCCGAGCTCCACACACAGTGCTTTGGGGGAAGGCACGGAGCAGGTCCACAAGCCTGGTCATTTAGTGTGGATTCCTGCAGGAAAAGAGCTGTTGGATAACTTTATTTTTTTTAACTGTATTTTTTTAACTGTATTTTTTAGACATAGTACCCTTCTCCAAGTTGCTCTCGCCACCCAAATCAGTAGTGACCAAGAAGAATAAATCTTAGTGCTCACATTTGATCAGGGCAATTGAATATTTTTCAATTCTCTGCCTAAGTGTTTTATTTCACCTTGTCTGTGCCTTCTCTGAAGATAGAGTGAGACTTGCAAGGCGTCCTGTTGACCAGGGGAGTTATAAGTTGGCCCTGAACCACATGCAGTTCGTGGTATTTCATAATTATCTGAGTGAACTTTCAGTGCTCAAAAAAAGGAAATAGGAAATGGCAATTAGGCAGAACTTTCACTCTCCAATCACGTCTATACTGCCTTGCCATTGTTACTTACAGCTTTCAAGAGCCTCCCTGGAGGGCTCTATATTAAGTAATTCATCTTGTTTAACACTTCAGTGTGAAGCACGTGCAATTAATTGACAACATATAGAAATAATGGTCTGATTAATAGAAATCCAGTTCCTGAGAGCCAAGACTGGTTTTCCTTTCCAGGCTTTACGGTTGATTGTTCTTTTCAAGTTCACTGATGATATATATTTATCTGCCACTGGATCTGCGAAGGCAAAATTGAAATCCAGTTTGTGAGTGAAATGAAAATCTATATGTAGCTCTCCTGCTCCCGTGCCATTAAACAGCCAGAAATGTGATAGTCCTAATTGTTGCATGTTTAGTACAGCTAATAGAGTAATAATGATAGGGTAGCTTTATAAAGAAAAGGTTTTTAAAAAACCCCAAACCCACAAACAGCAACAACAAAAAAAACCCAGCAGAAAACCACAACCACCAGCCCCATTCTTACATCTTTTATTAAACACAAAGTGTGTTTAAAGATACTTAAATACTGCACAGAGCTGAACTGTGAATTGATCTTGGTTTGAGAGCTGCTGTTGTGGTTGGGCTGGGGAATGGTGGGTTTAAGGCAGTGTGGTGTTCCCCTAAGGCAGCAATTTTTGTGCAAATTGTTGTGTTTTGAGGCTCAGCATTACCCTGTATTTGCTGACTTACCTACCACATGTTTAAAGGTGGTGTTTTGGTAGTGTGACAAGTTTTAAAGTGTGTGGTTGGGAATTGGGGTTCAAATTAGAAACAATTCCAGTTTAAAAAAAGAGGGATGAAGGAAGAGGTTTAGGGTGTGTTGATAGAAGTGTTTTATCTCAACGTGAACAGCTCAGCTGTGAGCTTGAGTCTTGCTAAGCAGGAGGCCTTGGGGACTTTGGGTCTTAGGTGGGGACTTAAGAGTGAGTTTGCTTCCAGGAGAGGAGCCTAAATGCCTCCCAAGTACTCAGGCCACGGTTGCTAATCCTGGCTTAGGCTCGGTCACACCAGCAGCCCTCAATGGGATTTGTCATTTTGAAGGGACACAGCAGAGTGCCCAAAATAGGCTTTTAGCCCCCAAGGAGGCAATTCCAAGCCTGCCCTGGGGTCAGGCCTGGAGTCCCCCGAGCCAGGGGAGGGAGGAGTGGAGGGAGCAGGAGCAGGTGCCTCGGCCTTGGGGTAGGTGCCTCTTTGGTGTTCAAAGCACCCAGTGCTCTGCATCTCCCTGAACAGGGGCAGGGCTGGGATGTGCTTGAAGGCTCCAGCTCCACTCTTTATCTGGCTGTGCAGAGCAGGTCTGGGACCCATCCTGAGTCAGCAGCACGACGTTCTCTGTTAGCTTAGCACATCTCTGCAGAGGTACCACCATTGTAGCTTCTTTGTCTAACATGTGTCTGGTATTTTCCCCTAACTGTGGTGTTTGAATATAGAACTCTCATTTCCATAACATCCCATGTGTGCTCTAAGAACTGGGCTTCCCTTGAGGAAATGCTGATCCCCACAGGAAACCGATTTTGGTTATAATAGGCAACACTGTTTGTATACAACTGTCCCATGTTTACCTTTCCTAGAGATACTTTTCTCACTATTATATAAAACAAAGGTGATACATAAGGTGTTCCAACCATATGTATGAAAACCAGGGACACCTGACGTAGGAGTTATTGTTTGTAATGCAGTTGTTGGCTTTTCTCCACATTATCCTTATTACTTACATACATATATATATATATAAAATATATCTGTATGTATATATAAAAAAGGCAAGTACATGCCTTACCTTTCTTAAGTAATTCCTATGTGTGTGCATATAAACTCAGTTTACATTACAGTACTTGGTTAATTGCAAAAGACCTTGAGGACCCCATTTTTCCACAAGTGAAGCCTTTTTCTGTGGTGCGTGTTGTGCCTTTGCTGTCTCTAACGAGCTGCTTTGTGTGACAGGTGGGAGATTCAAGAAGGAGATAGTAGTTGATGGACAAAGCTACCTGCTGCTGATTAGAGATGAAGGAGGCCCTCCGGAGGCTCAGGTGAGCATCTCTGAGAGCCTTGGCAGCCTGAAGCCTCGCTTTCCCTGCTTTTAAAAACCTACCTTCAAAAGAACTGGCTTTGCTTTGTTCTGCCCTGGGTCCCTCTCATCCTTCTGCTGGGAAAATTCCTACATCGCCCTCAGGTGAAAAAGATTTTATTCAGAAAATGTTTGGGATTTCAATTACAGTGCATTAAAGAGTCTGGGTAGAAAATATTTGGTATTATGAGTAAAACTGTGTAAATGAGGATATACAGTTAATGTCTCTTGAAAGCCCAATCCGTGTGTTTCCCTGGTGACAAAATTGCGTGTTACAGTCAAGTTCTCTTCCAATCTTAAAGCTCTAAATTGTTAAAATATGAAGTAGACATGCACACAGTGACACACATACTTGTGTCCAAATCTTTGCATTCCCTGCTGCTTCTGTATTTTGCTGTTTAAGACTCAACTTGGCAAGTTCCAGTTCAGCACCACTGAGTTCCTGGATTTCTGACTGGGAATTCTGTGTGTGCTGTGTTACTTCCTTCTCTCACAGCAGGTGACACGTCAGGAGTTAATAGAATTACAGAAGGGTTTGGGTTGGAAGGGTCATTAAAGCTCATCTCATCCCACCCCCTGCCATGGGCAGGGACACCTTCCACCAGCCCAGGTTGCTCCAAGCCCCGTCCAACCTGGCCTTGGACACTTCCAGGGATCCAGGGGCAGCCACAGCTTCTCTGGGCAACCTGTGCCAGGGCCTCCCCACTCTCCTAGGGAAGGATTTCTTCCCACTATCCCATCTTAAATGAGCCATTACTTAAATCAGCACAGACCCATCATGTCTGCAGGCACTGTCCTTGTCCTGGACATCTTCCTCCTGCTCCTCTCCTTACCTGGGCACCCACAGAGTTTCCCAAGCGTGTTGGCTGCTGCTGTCCTTGCTTTGCTGGGCTGTTCAGGGATGGATCAGCTTCCAAACAAGCAATAATTGAGCATCAGGAGCAGCTGAAGGGGAGCGGTGCCAGCAGCAGCAGCTCGGGTTTCACTGCACCACTTTAGCTGCAGGAGGGGAAGGTGCCCGGACAAAGGGGAAGAGAAAGGAGGTGGAGGAAATGGAGACGGAGAGAGACATCCTGGAAGGAAGTTAAAAGACAAAAAAATGAGTGTTGCTGGCACATCTCTAGCCCTGTCAGCAGGAGCCTACAAGGAGTGCTCTGTTTGGGGCTGGGAAGGATTTGGCTGAAGCTCCCCACAGCTTCCAGGCTCTGGTGCTTAGAGAACATTCACTCATCTAAAAACATGAATACTGGAGGTGTTAAGGTACACACAGCAATGGGAAATGTTTTTCTGCCCAGAGAACTGGGTTTTCAGAGTTTGTCTCAGCTAAGTGCAGACTAATGAACAGGCATGGGGTGTGCTTTTGGTCTGAGTGAGGTAAACTTGGGGGTTTAATTACTATTGTCTGATGGAAGGTGTCCCTGCCCATGGCAGGGGGTGGAACAGGATGAACTTTAAAGTCCCTTCCAACCCAAACCATTCTGTGGTTCTTCTATGGCTCAGATTTGTTCTTCAGCAAGTCATAAGGATGGAGGGGTCTAAGGTGTCACCTTAAGTGCTGTTTCACCTTTCAACACATGGGTTTCACAGGTAAATCCCCTTTGGAGTTTTTGGGTATAATCTCAGGTCTCACGTGTATTGAAAGTCTTCAATGGTTTTATTAATTCCTGGAATGAAAAGTTCATTTCTGGGTTCATGAATAATTGGGATAGAGTTACGACTTCCTAAGGAGGATAAGTTTATATTATAATAAAAATGTAAGTAGGTAAGTATGTAATAAGGAACTGAACTGTGCTGTTCCTGGCACTGGGCCAGGGAGACTTCCCCAGGTTGCTTTCCCCTTCTTTTTGCCAGGAAGGGACAGAAAACAAACTCCCCTGAAGACTCGCTTCGTGGGTCTATGATCTCTCTTTTCTTTGTCTAAGATAAAATTGCTCAAAGATGAAAATAATTCCATTTCCTGTTGTAAAACCCAATTAACATAGTAACCGACCTATAACAGGCTGTTGCATGCTATTTTCTTGAAATGTAAAGATTTTTTTTTTTATATAATTTGGTTTTGAGCTTTCCTTGAGCTACCAGCTCTGCTCACACATAGTCCTAACTCTGAGGATGGATTTGTGTTACAGCAGCTGACCTACCCTTATTTCAAGCCATTCCCTGCACAGTGCTGTGGATAAGACATCCAGCATTTCCAGACCTCGTGTGTTTCCCAAAATTCCTTGGGTTTTTAGTACCACAGGTCTGATATCGACAAAGATGAAGCTTTATTTCAACATAAAAAGAGAAATAAGAAATTACTGGAAATATTCTGTGTCTGGAGGAACTGCATTGTATAAATCTGTGGATGTTTTAAAATGATCTTCATTAGAAGGCTGCTGCTACACACTGAGCAAATACTCAGAAGGATTAGGGAGACTTTAAGGATATTGTAGTTGTAGGGAGGAGTTCTTGGCATGATAGTGCTGAGTCCAACCAGAGAAAACTATTTATAGTGAGACCCAAACCCACAGTAACGCTGCTGTCTCCAGTTCCTCTGGTTACATCTTCTGGGTTGAACAGTTCAGATTTCCCAGTGTGGTGGTTGACCTTATCCTGGCAGTAACTGTGCTGTGTGTCACCAGTCCTGTCCTTACCCCCTGGAACATTGGCTTCCTGACTGTCTTGAAAACCTCAAACCGTTTCTGGCTATTTTTACACCATAACAGACAAGGTGGTGTTTGGTGTCCATACAAAGACAGTCCTGAATATGCAGAACCTTTCCCCAGTGAACCTCCTTGCAGCCCTTTCTGTTCAGCATCCCCCCAGTGTCCCTGACACATAGTAATGACACAAAGAGCATGAAAATGCCCATGGCTGAAGCTTCTTTCCATTGCTCTAAATTTGGGTAGGAATGGAGTCACTTAGGCAAAAATAAAGGCAGTGAGGTAAGCTTAACTTCAGTCTTTTCTTGATGTCCTGTGTGTGTTCACTGTTAAGTTAAATGTCTTTAAACAGTCTTATTTCTTTCTTATTACTTGTGAGCTGAAACCTTCCCACTTGCATGGTCACCTGAGGGCACCTTGCCTTGGCCTGTGCACCTGCATGTCTCTTAGCAGGCTGCTGCTGCTCTTCCTCTGAAAGCAGAATGAGGCATTCGGTGCTGTTGGCTCAATGGAGAGTGTAGAGTGAGGGACTGGAAATCTCAAATTACTGGGTTTGGGTACTGCTCGAGATGTGAGAATTCCTAGCAAAGCTCGTCCTGGCAACATGAGCATGCATGCATGGAAATCCCAGGGGGGGAATACCACACTAAGTCACGTGCCTGGACATAAGTGTTACACATGCAAAATGCACAGGTTCGGAAATCTGGGCCTGCCATGTTTTCTGGGGATCAGACCCAACGTGCACTGATAGTAGTTGAGCTTGTAGTATCAGACCCCAGTGAGGAAGGGATGCCGTTGTGAGTGTGGGGAAAAATTTGGTGCCTCCCAGACCCCCATTCCCTGCAGAGTGAGGACATTCATCATTTTAGAAGCTGATGCCACTTTTAAGGCTTTGGTTATTGTCACTAAGTTTCTCTGCTGTGTATTTCCCACCAAGGAAGGTAAGAATGTTTCTCCTTTTCTTTTTTTCTCTTTTCCCCTCTGTGCTGCTGTTCTCACAGTCTGCCCTCTCTGGTTTCCTCCTGCAGTTTGCCATGTGGGTGGATGCTGTTATCTTTGTCTTCAGCCTGGAGGATGAAGTCAGCTTCCAGACCGTGTACCACTACTACAGCCGGATGGCCAACTATCGCAACACTAGTGAGATCCCCATGGTCCTGGTGGGAACACAGGGTAAGGGCAGGCTTCATTCCCAGGGCTGCTTTTCTGACCACAGGGACTGTTCCAGGCTGGCAAAGCCACGTCCTGTCCTTTCCCCTTTGCAGCAGGGTCGGGGCGTTGTGAGGAGTGGTTTGAGGTGGGAGACAAAAGTCCTGGCTGCACTCTGGGAGAGGGGGTGTGGGGCTCCAGCAGGGATGAAAGAGGGAGGATATGGAAGGAATTCTTCCCTGGGAGGGTGGGGAGGCCCTGGCACAGGTTGCCCAGAGAAGCTGTGGCTGCCCCTGGATCCCTGGAAGTGTCCAAGGTCAGGTTGGATGGGGCTTGGAGCAACCTGGGCTAGTGGAAGGTGTCCCTGCCCATGGCAGGGGATGGAATGGGATGAGCTTTGAGATCCCTTCCAACCCAAGCTATTCCAGGATGTTATGACTTACAAGGAGATTTTTAAATAGTATTTTCAGTGCTTGCTGGTCACGGTGGTTTTCTTGCTTGGCAGGGACATGCTCACGTTGAATTTGGTGCATCAGTTGTGTAACGAAGGTCTAAAGTCCAGTTTCCAAGTGCTTGGCAGTCTAGAAGTGTTCAACACCTTGCCATTGCTAAGAGGCAAACGGATCAGGGGTGGAAAACCTCCAGCAGCACGTTGGGAAGCAGAACTGAACCATGTCCCCATGCAGTGCCTCCAGGAGGCCTCTGTGTATCAAACAGAAATGCAGTTTTTTGCCACCTGAGACAGGCCCCCCCCAGTTTTTCCAAAATTCTTTCTGGAGCAGCAGCTAATCACAGCTGTCCTACAGGGAAATCTGGCAAGGGAATGGTACTTACAATCTTTCAGTGTCTTTGGCATTTGAGTTGTCTTTTGGATATTCCCTGCCTTGCTTTGCCAGTGCATCCCTTACTATTTCACCACTTTCCCGTGTTAGAGGGAGAACACAAGTGTCAGGAGTTGTTCTGGTAGGTTCAGTTTTGGCCATCTTCCTCTTTGGTCTGTGCCAGTTGGTTTGGTTGTGTGGAAGCTTTTTGCTGCTTTCTCAGCCTGTTTTTTGTCAGCCCTGTGGTCAGGGAGCACTTTGCCTCGCTCTGCCTCCCACGGAGCGGTGACAGCCTGGAGGGAGCAATCACAACCCAGCTGCAGGGTGGAAACAGATGATGAGAAGTGAAAGGGGAAGTAGGGACACAAAAAAAGCCTTAGGGCAGCAGAACCCACACCAAAAAGCAGAAAGGAGCTGCTTGGAAGGGCCGCGCTGTCGGCGTGGAGCTGGAGCTGGAAAGGCGAAGGGGAAACGTTTCTCTGAGCTGTTTTTCTTTGTGCCCTGCTGACTCTTTGGGGTATGGTTCCCCATCTCCTTCCCGTTATTACCAGGAAGGAATTTGGTTTTTTTTCAAAGTTCACTTTCTGTTGCAGCACTGATGCAAAGGGGATTTTTAAAAATGTGGCTAAAGATAGAAATACTGCTAATTCTGAGAGCAAACATCAGGATAAAAATACAGCTTTTTGGCTATACTTGACAGTCAAACAGTGCAGTGCAATGCAACATATGAAATACATAAATACACCTGTTAAAATACATTTGAAATATACTTATTTGATATCACAGAGTTACAGAATGGTTTGGGTTGGAGGGGATCTTAAAGATAATCTCATCCCAACCCCCTGCCATGGGCAGGGACACCTTCCACTATCCCAGATTGCTCCAAGCCCCTTCCAGCCTGGACTCCTTGGTTTTGACTGGTATTCTTGAAATGAGACATGAGATGAAATCTCTTCCAAATGGTGGCACTTGCCTGATGCTTTCAGATGTTCTCCCCTGACTTCTGAAGCCAGCTCAGTGCCACAGCCTGACCAGAACAATAAGGCAAACTTTTCCAAGCCCCGGTGTTCCTTATCAATTCCTTTCTGGTTAAATGTTTTCAGCGCCCTCTGCTGAAAAAAAAAAAAAAGCGTCTGTTATTTTTCCAAATAACTGCTGTATTGGTGTTCAGTGGATCTGATGAGAAGGTAATAATAACATCAGCTGAGGGAGGGTCCTGTCATGCCCAGGACCGAGCCGCAAATCCAGCCTTGCAATAGGCACTGACTTCATGCTTAGGAGCAGAGTTTTAGGACAGCTTTTGGGGCAGCTGTAAATGTTGAAATTGGTGCCTGTCATAGAGTCCCAGAATAGTTTGGGTTGGCAAGACCTTAAAGCCCATCTTATTCCATTCCCTGCCATGGGCAGGGACACCTTCCACTAGCCCAGGTTGCTCCAAGCCCTGTCCATCCTGGCCTTGGACACTTCCAGGGATGGGGCAACTTCAATAGCTGTATCTATTTTTATTTTAATTGTAATACATCAACACATTTTTAATTGCCTCTCCTGAAAATGTTCTGTTTCTTAAAAGCATATCATGTTTTGTGCTTCACACACTAGTTACTTGTTAGGAACTGATACAGGAGGCCTGAAAATCATTTGACATGTTTGTAGTAATCACCCACTTGTTTTGCTAGGTACATTTTACATCAGATCTCATGTTATTTCCTGTGCCTGTGTACTTTTTTGCAACTGCTGACCTAAATATATGTATTTAAGGTAAACAAAAAGCATTGGAGGTTTTTCCCCTGGTTTTTGGAATCGGCGTGCTGGTGATTTTAGTAAGGAGGTGTAACATTAGTGATGTGAACCCCTGGCATCTCTAAAAATTCTGAAATTCTCATGGTTTGTACTTAAATTGGTTGTTTGGGGTGCTGGTCATTATAAGAGGAAACAGCCTCATGCTGTGCCAGGGGAGGTTTAGATTGGACATCAGGGGAAATTTCTTTATGGAAGGGGTTGTAAAGCGTTGGAAGGGGCTCCCCAGAGCAGTAGTGGAGTCACTGTCCCTGGAAGTGTTCCAAAAGCATGTGAGTGTGGCACTTGGGGGACGTGGTTTAGTGGTGAACGTGGTGGTGGTGCTGGGCTGATGGTTGGACTTGATGAACTTAAAGGTCTTTTCCAACCTTAACAATTCTGTGACTCCGACTGACAAGAAGATGTTTTCAGATGATATTTAATCCCTGTTTTTCCCTGCTGTTGCTGCAGATGCCATAAGCTCCACTAACCCCCGGGTCATCGATGATGCCAGAGCCAGGAAGTTGTCAAATGACCTCAAGAGATGCACCTACTACGAGACCTGTGCCACGTACGGGCTCAACGTGGAGAGAGTCTTCCATGACGGTACACGAGACCTTTTTCACCCAGTATATCACTCAGTCTTTAAATAACCACCTGTGTCTGATAGCTCAGGTATTGCCCTGTTTGCCAAGCGTTCAGTAATGTTTAAATGCTTATTTTTAGGGACTTTGTTACATTATCTGGAGTGGAAGGCTCCTCGTGCTGAGCGCAGCACACTGACGCTGATGTTTTCCCTACCAGCACCTTTAGTCTTAAGCGTCTGTTTTTAACTTTTATTTAATTTTCAGTTTTCTTCGGCACTTGCTTTATTTTAGCAAAGTTTTCTTTGATTTGATTTAGTGCTTGTGGAGAAGCTCTTTGTGCAGAGTAATTGAAAAGTTGAAAATTTGAGTACCGTGGTATTCATGGAGTGTTAGAAGTTGAGAGGTAGATAGCTGGCTTTGAACTGACGAGAAGGTAGATTGGAAATTGGGAAGAAATCCTTCCCTGGGAGGGTGGGGAGGCCCTGGCACAGGTTGCCCAGAGAAGCTGTGGCTGCCCCTGGATCCCTGGAAGTGTCCAAGGCCAGGTTGGATGGGGCTTGGAGCAACCTGGGCTAGTGGAATGTGGTGGTATGAGATGAGCTTTAAGGTCCCTTCCAACCCAAACTGTGCTTTATTTATCATGTGATTCCATGAGAGCCTTGTGTGGGGGCTTTGATGATCCTTGTGGGCCCCTCCCAACTCGGGGTGTTGTGTGATTCCCTGATCCTCAGGTTGGAGCGTGGCTGCATGAGATGGGCTCTGTGCCCCCTCTAGTGGAATTTCCACCAGGAGGCTTTGCCGGCTTTCCTCTCACTGCGCTCCTCTGGTGGCTGAACGGGTCAGCCCCTCATCACAGCAGTTTGGCTGTGTCTGAAAACCTTCTTAATTAAGTGTAAATGTTTCTCAGAGCTCCTTAGTTCTGTGGGTTGGTTTGGTGTCAGCTGTTCATTGCAGATTCCTGCGCTGTCTGGGGTTGTGTGAGGCACTTTCCCCTCAGCATCCAGCAGAGGTGTGTACAAAGGCCTCTCAAATAGAAAGGCAAAAATTTCATATTGTTACATGGAATAAAAAGGCAAAACATCCTACTGTCTGCGTGGGGGGAAATAGCAAATCATCGTAATTTTTGCATGGGGAACAGAAAAAAGCAAATCATCCTGATTTTACATGGAAAATTCTGATGTGCACTGCAGTAGTTTAATTCCAAATAAGATGTTTTTACTTGTCCTTTTGATCAGATTTCAAGCTGCATCTTTGTGCTTTGCTCCCTGTTTTCTCTTGAACTAGTTGCAAAAATTACTGTTTTCACTGCCTAGATTTTCTGTATTGATTAGGAGTTTCCAACAGCCATTAGGGGTTTTTGTTGTTAACACATTTATTTTGGAGCGCTAGCTATAGTTAGATTTTTAATTACATATTCCAAGTCGTGGTGTTTGTGGCTCTTTCTGCTGTCTGCTCCTCTTTTTTTTTTTTTTTCTTTCTCAGGGACCCTTTGAGAGAAGTCTCTTGGCACAAAGCTAGTGGGATAAACTTGTAAGCTTCCAGGGGGCTTATTTGTCTCTCTACTAAATTTAGTAGTAAGTAGAAAGAATTGACAGAGCTCATGTGTTTAAGAAATATCAAGGTTTTGTTTTACCTACATGGCGGGCAACCAGATCTTTAATATTGGCCAACTAATAGGATTAGAAATGCTTCTGTATAAATGGGTTACACTTGCCAGACATGTCTGGGACCGGATCCAATTCCTGAGAATTTTTGCTGGTTATTTCAGCAGCAAACAAAGCAACTTCTTAACCCCATTAAATGAGGGGGTGTGAATGAGCAGTGCAAGCTGCTAATAGGGAGCACTTGATTAAATGACACTTGGTTTGTGGAACTTCAGAGTTGAGCAGCCTGGTCTAGTGGAAGGTGTCCCCGCCCGTGGCAAGGGGTGGAATGGGATGAACTTTGAGGTCCTTCCAAACCACTCTGTGGTTCTGTGATGTGACCTGAAAAAAACCCTTCTTGATGTAAATATTGTCAATGAACTAGGAAAAGAAGGGACAATGGGAGGAGGGGTAGGCCAAGTAGGGGTCTTCACATAGTGTGTTCTTAAGCAATTCCTGTTATTTTGAGGAAACTGTAAGTCGGGGCCAGAGCCTTCCTGAATTATCTGAATTTTTCAGCAAGCTTGGGAGGGGTACAGGCAATTATTGCATTTCATTAACAGCTGAATGGATAAGACAGGTGGGGTTTTTTTACTGTGTAACTCAGGAAAAAGAGATGTTGACAACTTAGTAGCTGTTTGCAAGACGTGGAGCTACTACACCTATTAAGATGTCTTCTGTGTATTGAAATTATGTTTAGACTTTTCTCCCGGCTGGATAGGATTTAGGTGTAGGATTTAATCAGTGTTTATTGTACTCCAGGGTAGGTGATGCTTGATGATTATATCCTCCAGGTGTTTCTTTGGTGGGTCTGTGAGGGTATTTCAGTATGTTGCCCAAGGTCCCTCAGCTTTTGGTGGCTTGTAACTTTGTGGAACACTTCAGTTCCTTTGAATGTTTAGAATAAGGCTGCAATAGGCAGGTTGGGTTTGGTTTAGTCACATTACCTTTAGTGCTCTTATTTTGCACTCAGTGACTCCCATTTGATGTTTTTTAAATCAAGTTGAACTCTGTGCAGTGTTTTCCATCACCTCTGATTTACGACAGAATTTATGTTCTGAGTGCACACTGTTATTCCTCCCCATTCTGTTTCTCAGGAGCCCTGAGTTGGTAAATCTGAAACTGGCTGTGCACTGCCGTTGTCCAAACCCTGTTACCAGCCCAGAGGCTTTTTTTTTTAGCACACAGTGGACTGTGACACCAGTTCCTAGTTTAGGCTGTTTTACAAGCTCTTTCTAAAATGTAGGTTCTTTTCCTGTTTGTGCTGTTCCTTGCTGTGATGCAGACCTACCTTTCAGAGGATGGAATTGGAAATGGCATTGAAGGGCCTTTTACTCCTTCATTGCACACACGTTAGAAATTAAAACACTAATTTTTTCCCCTGCAAGCAGCCACTGAACTGTTCATGGTCGTCTGTTATGATTCTTGTCTTTATAACTCAACTTCCTGTTTTCCCCACAGCTGAGTGGTAAAATAATTTAACTTGAATGATTATTGTTAGCATGAAAATGCTACTTTATTCTTGAGTTAAATCCAAATAAATCGTTCCCAATGCTCCATTACAGCTGATAAGCTCAGTATTGATTGTAGCAGAGACAGAATCATAGAATCACTTGGATTGGAAAAGACCTCCAAGATTGTAGAGTCCGATGAATGCTGCTGAAGTGAAACAGGATTTTGACCATTTTAGAGGGTGTTTCAGCCTTGTCCCACTTGGGTCTAATATCAGATACTGTTGGAATTTGCAGCTGCATGAGCAGGTCCTGAATTTCAGGCTGAAATGAAAAAGAAAAATTCCAGGTTCCAGTGGAACCCAGGCATGGAAGAGAATAAATTCTTATTTAGTTTGTGGTGTTTATAGTTGTTGAACGGGGAAAATGTGTTTAAAAAAAGGAAGATAAATGCCAATAAGATCCGTTTTTCTTCAGATTTCCCAATTAAGAATTAGTGGATTTTTTTCCCCCTGCTTATCAGAATGGATTTTATCAATGCCATTGGAAATGATTATTTTAATATTTCTTGTCAGCACAGTATTGTAATGACTGTGTACTGCCCCAGGATGCCTTTTTAATGATTTTAGCCTTCTTGAATTAGCTTGATGTACCATTAATGCATGAGAATTGCTTTTATTTCTGTTCATCATGTATCCATAATTACTCATCCCTCCCTGCTTCATGTTGAGATTTTCTCTGACCCATTTAACTGTGTGCTCTGTGATTCTCTGACTTCACAGAGAAGCAGGCCTTCAAACATTTAGAGGATAAAATTTTACCATCAGCATGGCTTGGCATTGGGGGGTGTGAAACAAAAGGGTTTGGGTCTAACTTTGATTCAGAGTTGAGTCCAGCCAAGGAAGTTTTACTTTGTGTGGCTGGTTGTAACACACAGATTTTGAAATAAAACTGCCCAAAATAGCAATAAAATAGTGAATATTGAGGCAGGAGTTGCAGGTGTGTGGTGGCAGGTGCCTCACAATGCCGTTAGCTCTGGTGCTGTGCTACCTTAATTATTTTTGGATGCTTTACTTGCAAATTAACTAAGGTTTTTAAGGAATGTTCTACTCTGTGTAAAAATTTACCAGCAATATTCTATTTCCAAGTGCAAATAACATTTCTAATGTGGTGATGGACAAAGGTGTCTGAAAGGGGAACCTTGAGGTACCGATTCTCCATTAGGGGATGGGAGCTGACAAATGGATCCTGGTACAGCCGGAGCGCAGGGAAGGGCTGTCACTTGCCGTCAGCATCATCAAGTCAGCTTTTATAGATGTGTTTTCATTAGGAAATGTTAATCAGCCTAATGGGAAGCAAATAAAGTCTCGGTCCATCCTGACGGCTGTTTTGGGAAGAGGCAACATTCGCTCAGGCCCTGGATGTGGTCTGGGGGATTCTCCGCTCAGCGGGCGGGAGGCTGTGGCTTGGGGGGACCCCAGTGAGGGGCAGAGCTGGGGAGAACCTCCTTTGGCTCCTGGAATTCCTCGGATTTGGGTTTGGTGCAGCATCTGGAGTGATGTGCCGGGGCTCAGGGCTGGGCTGGAGCAGCTGCTGACACAGGGACAGCCTCCGTGCGGCAAAACCACCGGGAAAACACGAGCTGGGGGGCTTGAGTCCAAACAGTCGTGCTTTCCTCTTCTGTGGTTTGTTTATTGTTTGTTTGGGGTTATTTTTAGTAAGAAAGAGACAGGAGGGATGTAGTTTTTCCCCTGGGTGTTGAGGCTTAGCCGGGAGCCACAAGCGCTGGGCCCGCGTTCGGTTCGAGCCCCCGCTGGTTTTAAGCCCCGGTTTTAAGCTCCGGTTTTAAGCCCCGGTTCAATTCGAGGCCCCGTCGGCGCCTAAAGGAGCGCTGGAATTTAACGTTAATTCCGGTTCACGTTGGA